ATAAAGTCTTCCATGTTTTAAGACTGTGTTCATTAGATGCCCATAGGCATGCGTTCTAAATGTAGGCCTGCCCAGTTAAATGGTTGCCAGAAGAAGGAAAGGCAACTTCTTCAAAGTTATGTCCACTGGCAAGCCACCCATGCTCATAAAACAGCCCTAATAGAATCCACTGGCTATAAGCAAAACAAGGGAGGAAGAGGGCACTAGTTGGAAAGAAGAGAGTGTGGGAAAGAGATCTAAGAGTATAATGGACTGGATATGAGCACTGCATATTGTACATCTGCTTGAAATTACCAAAATACCATGTGCTTTAGCAAAATTGTTTCCTAAAATTATGAGAAGTCTGGATATATAAAAATTTTCCTACACTAATTTTGCACATAGCCAATAACTTTGAAATTATCAAGCCCAAGGATCTTCTACATAAACATTAGAAAAGTTAGAATTTTCACTTGAATCTAACTAAAATCAAGTAATTCTTTAAGAGAGCAATTGGCCAAAGAAGCAGTCATTTCTAAGATGGTTCCTAAAGGAAGCTGATAAGAAACACACATGTGGACATGTGACCCACTGGGCAAGGAAGACATGCTTTGCTCAATGGCCTGATGCAGTTATTCTAGAGAGGGGAGGTTTCTGGTCTAAGTGTACAGTGTACCATAATTTAGTGTTTATCATTCTCCTATCCAGAATTCATGTATGCATTTTTAAATTCTCCAAGTCGTACTAAAAACAAACAAAACAAACAAAAAAAACAAATTAACAGCAAAAAAAAAATGAGCAAATAAAAATAGACCCCTATGAAATATCACAAATGCATGCATTCTACTTCAGAAGTTTGCAGTTTGGCACGAATTTAACTCATGGCCATGGATCCAAAATTGATTTGATTACATTCTGTGTATTTGATTCTAATACAGGCATTCTGCTTCATGAAAGAATTGAGAAAGTAAACATAATGGTAATGGAAATCCCAGTTAGTTGGTCTGCTTCATGGCTACTGTCTCCTTCCTCTTAGCTAGCATTGATATAAAGGGGAATCTGTCACTTCCACAGAAAGAAGCAGATCATCCTTCCACCCCAAGTGGGCAAGATCATCTTCATGAGAATGCAAAGTCCTACCTTTTGTCCGTTACTAAGTAGAAGTTGGGGTTCTTTAGTTCTTGTGCACTGGGCATAAGGAAACTCTGCTGACAGTGCCTAGGGGAACTTTCCTTAGTAACATTAGACATTTCCCTGAGAGAGAGAAAGACTGCCCCCTCCATTTGATGTGAGAATGTGTAAAGAGGTTTGTTTGCCTCTGTAATGGCCACACTGGCTCCAGCATAGGAGGTCAATGGCTGTACGAAGAAGATGATATCATTAAGTTGCTGAGTTAGCCAACGCTAGCTCAGCACAGTGCCAGAATCAGTGACTGTGACAGAGTGGCAATCTTATCTGTAAAGGCCTTTTCACGGTATTTTATTCCTTTGTTTTCTTGAGTGTGGATAGTTGAACTGCGAGACTCACTCATAAGCACACCATGCACTCTATCATTGAATTACATCCCTAGTTCTTTACTTGGATGCTTTGGAACTCAGAGTTAAAAGACACCTAAAGTCATCATATTTTATATCTCAACACTGAACATAGCTGAACAAAAAATGGTTTCCAATAAACTTATAGGGAATAAGATTTGAATGAGTAGAGAAAATACTGAGCAAGCTGATTGGCCATCCATATCAATCGTGATACGCCCTTGCAAGGCAGAGTTCTTACTTATAAGTGTATCATCTATTACCACACTGAGGTAAACAATTAAGAAGCACAATTTAAGTTTAATTTTTGTTCATGTGAACATGTCTGTCTAGGAAACTATTACATTAGCTAATGTTGTCATCAACATATAACTTTTAAAATATATGCACTGGAAAGGAATATCTAACTGAAGATTTACGTTTTTTATTTCATTTGATCTTTTTCACATAATTGACCACTTTCTTATTTGTAAGCATGAGCAGTATTTGTTACTTTACTTTATAGACTAGAAGATGTGGGATTTCTGAGGAAGAAAGTGTTAAGAAAACAAAGCTGTCTCCGTTCTACCTACTCCTCGTCTAACTATTATCACAATTAGTCCATCAACACTTACCACATCTGAAGAATATGCATGTGTCTTTTTCATTTTTCTGAAATATTTAGATGAAATTTACATTTATACATTTACTTTATGCAAGTGGTCCTAGTTTTCAACCTCAAGTTTATTCTTTTCTCAGAGATTCTAATATTGTTCAAAATATCAAATATACACCAAAATATGTTTATACACATGGATGTTTGGCAATGTATGGAGAAACTTCTTGGTTACAGGACAGGTGAGTAGAGTAAAGGTCATGCATACTGCCAAACATCTTTGGTGTGCAGAATCTTTCCCACAACAAAGAAAAAATTAATCACTGCCAAATAGCAGCAATGTCAAGATTGGGGAGTTCTGAGATGAAGTATTCTATTATCTTTGTCACCCTCTCCTTTTGGGGACCCAGAAAGCACATATGAGTTTGGTGTGACAGAAACAATCTTCTGACCATAAGAGAAATTGCATAGATGATTGTAGATACTTAATTTCTTGATCAAATGCTCCAGCAGTCATCTTTCTTTGAATTCCTAAGATATGGTAGTAAATAAACCCTACTTTCCTAATCCACTGCTAGGCTACTAATTACTTCATAGTGAAATACAATTGTGAAAATATGTGCTATTCATGTACAGTCTATTTTATGTTCTGACATGGGGATAATATTTCAAAATGAAATGATAAATCCAGTATGGTTTCTGATCTGACCTCCAGCAATCCACCATCCAATAAAGACATCAGACATTAGAATGTTAAAAAAAAAAAAAAGACAATGGGTGCCCATCGGATCAATAGCATGTGAGAGGAAGGGGTAAAGGAAAGAAAAGGGTGGAAAGAAAGACAGTCAAAGAGAGCTAAACTTCTAGACAGTGGATTGTGGGGAGCTGAACCTATAAAGATGAGCCAACATAAACAAAGCACAAAGCCTTACGGTGCCAAGTAGTATTATGGAAATAATAAGAGACTTGTGACTGGACCAAAGGGCAGATCTTGGAGAAGCACAGGATGCAGGAGGTTTCCATGTAAAGTTTACAAAGGGTTGATTCTCATAAAATTGTGGATGTTAGCAGGTAAGCCACCAGAACCATTGCACATGTTAAGGTATCTTCAAGGCAGTCTATGTTTTAGAAATATTAAGTCTGGACATGGTAACTCTACTTATAAATAGTTGGAATATACCTAAGAGAACATGACTTAATTTTTAATATGTTATTTATGATCATAAATAGAAAAATATGATCATAAAACTTCACACATGGAAGACAAAGTGTGGCAAAGTATATGAGATCCTACTGTTGCCTGTTGACATCTCTGGTATCACTCTTAGCCCAGTTGTGCTGTGCTCACAGAAACCACCTTAGAGTCATTAGGTAATTTGAAAAATAAGTCTTTAGTGGGGTCAGGACCCTCTAAGAAATCCATGAATGAGTTTTACTAAAAAATGTTAAAAAAATGCTTCAACACATGGAAACCCAAAGAAAGATGTGAATTATATCAATGTCTAAATGACCACTGTCCTACAAAATGTCAATGACATCAACCTTAGCTTTTAACAAAATTAAATAGCAGAACTTAAATTTGTACCTGTATTCTCTAGTTCTAGCTACTTATGACTCTAGGTTCTCATTTTGTTTTTAAAGAGCTAAAGTGATAACTTAAGGGAATTTGAAGCAAAAGGCAGGGGTTACTACTAAATAACTGCAAGAAAACATTCACAGTGGAATAAAATCTGAGAACTTAGGCTTGGGAGAGACTTCAGATTCCTTCATTGGCGTTGTCTCTCCCTGCACAGACTCAGCTGGACCTAGGCAACCTTCCCCCAACAGAGACAAGCACAGGAGACTCTAGCTCTACCTTCTCTGTGTAGCTGTCCTCCAACTCCAAACCACCCACGCATCTGATTTGGAAATGCATTATCAATAAATAAAAATGGAAATTTTCACAAATTAAAACCATGTAAAAAAATAAAAATTGACAGGCAGCAATACTAGGGTTGGTGGAAGAGAAGGAGGTACCTAAAAAGACTCTTCTTACAGCCCAGGATCTCTGGTATAGCTTGCTTCTGAAAGATCACTGCCTCTCCTGCCTCTCTAGAAGGTTTGTAAGGACTAACTGTGGACTAGCAGGCTCGGAGAAAACAGTTACTTCTTTTAACCACACTGTACCATCAGAAGGCCTGAGCAATGATTAACTTCCACATTCTCTGTGAATCACTCCATCACTAGGCAGTGTGAGTAGACTTAGATTCATTCTCTGCCAAGGGCACAGTAAACTTAATGGGCTTTGCGTTTTGCATTAGATATTTTAAATACACACATGGTCTCGGCTGCTCAACTCATTTCTGTAGAAAACCTGGCACTCTATAGGTTGTAATAGCTCATAATGCTGAGACATTTTTAGATTTTTGTCAAACACACGCACACCTTCTCAAGGTGCCATTTTTTTAAAAAATCTATGATTCTATTAATACTCAAGTATAATTAATTTTGAGAGATATAGCAAGACACTGTAATTTTAAATATAGCACGAAACTTCCAGTTACTTAAACAAAATACTCTATGGTAGTTTTAGTATAAAAAGAGGGAAATTGGAATGTCAATGTTCTATAAAAATACACAGTAAAAAGGGAGGTTAACTATCTAAATCCACATATCCCTAATCCTACATGTATCATGATGGTCCTAGAAATGGGGAAAAGAAAGAAAACAGTGGTACAGGCCAGAGCTCATTAGAATAATCACAAATGAATCAAATATGGGACGTATTTCCCTCATTTCTGTAACAGACTAAGAGCTTCCTCTGTAATAAATTATTCCTCGTTCAAAAATCTCATTCTAAATAAATTTAAATTAACTGCAGGTGGGTTTTTTATTGTTGTTATTCTACTCACAAGGCATTGTGCTGAGGCAGGCAGGAGTCAGTGGAGACTGGATTAAACGTTTCCGTGGACTACCCTTCTCTTCCCCGGAGAGTTTATTGCCCAACAATGCATAATCTATTAGTCGCTCCTCGCGGGGATCTAGAAAGTGACATCTTGACTCGAACCAGCACGCAGATCTGAAAGCCACTTCGCAGGAAACGTTACAGAGAAGAAGAGCAACTTTCTAAATCCTGTCAAACTAAGAGGCGGAACCAAGCCCAGAAGTAGCCTCAAGGCCCAGGGAGAGCAGAGCAGAAAGCAGACTCTACACTCCAGCGAAGGTTCAAGAAAGGCTTTGCTTCTGGAGGCGGCATTGTTCCTCCATCCGTTCAGGCTCTGTGTCTCCCCTAGGCGGACTCTCCAAATCGGTGTTTTCTTTCTCGGGTGCCTCTCCGCCAACCTCCTGGCTCTGGGTGTCCTGGTCCCGGAGCTCAGGCAAGCAAGATCTCTGCAGGGGCTGGGGCGCCTCTCCGAGGACTCAGAGACACCGCACGCGTCCGCCCCGGCCCGGGCAGCGCAGAGCGCGCAGCGCACCCTGGCTGTCTCGCTCCTCTCCAGCTTCCCAGGCTCCCACGGACTCGACTGGCCTCTCACCACCCACTCGAGTTCGCCTTTCCTACCTTGGCTTCCCACACCAGCTAGGCACCGCCGCCACAGCCGCGTCCCGCCACTCCAGACCTGCGCAGGCCGGGTTGAAGGGATGCCTGGGTCAGAGATGCGCCGGGAGGCGGGGACGAGCGGCCAGGGCGAGCCAGGACAGGTGGGGAGTCGCGGGGTACGGGCGAGGGCGTGCGTGAGCGAGCCCCAGATAAAGATGCATGTGCTCGGTCACCGCGGCGGAGGAAGGACCGAGGGGGCAGGATGTAAAGTGGAGAACGCCCACCGCGAGGGTGCGCAAAACCGGCGATTTGCAAAGTGCCAGGGCCAGACAGGCAGAGGGGGAGGAAGGAGGCTGGCTGAAGACCAGGAACAGAGAGAAGAGACCACTTCTCCATCAAAAGGTCGGATCAGCTAACGTGTCCCCAGAGCAGGAGTTAATCAGGGATTGGACGTGGTGTAAAAGGTGGGTTTTAAGGACTCGCCACGTAGGTCTTCTCATCCTAGACTTAGCTTCCTCTCTCTCAACTCTGGGGATTTGCCCTCCTTGTGGCACAACTGGCTTTACGCAGGAGCTGAAGCCCGCTGTCCTCCTTTGCTGCTTATCTGCATTTTGGAAATTCCTTGAACCCCAGGATTTAAGAAACCACCCAGTCCATTAAAGTTCACTATTTTTTATTGTTTTTATTTTCATCAAAGGGTAATTGTGGAGAGTTGGCACCAAGACATGTTTAAAACATTGATCGACGTGGCATTTGTTGTTGTTTAAAGGGCAAAACGCATTTAAGACCGCTAAAAGACGGGGAAGGGGGGAAGGTAGAAAACTCGATCAAGTGAGGGAATAAAAGATACATTTAAACTGTAACCGACGATTACATCTCCTGTACATTCACCCTCCCCAGCCCCCAGCCCTCCTCCTGGGCCCGGGGGAATGGAGAAGAGCTAAGCAGAGAGCAGGGAAGGGTAGGGTTGGTGGAAAGGGTGAGGGCAGGGAGAAGCCGGAGCAGGAAGTTATCAGTGGTCCCGGGGACTGAGGTAAATGCCAGGCCTGGTGGACGCAGAAGGCCCCCTTACCTTCTTTCTAAGCCCCGGTTGTACCTGCTCTGCAACCAGAAACACTTCGTGGTGCCTAGCGTGCAGCCTAATGATGGCCGAATGTTAAACAGTTCTTCACTCTCCCTCCCCTTGTCCAAAACCAGGATCAAAAGAATGTGAATAATGTTCTTGGTGTCCATCAGCTCCGGAACATGTCGCTGTGTCGGGAAGAGATGAAAACCAGGCTTTGGGGCTCGCGTATATGTATTTATAAGCTTTCCGACCGGTATATAAACATATATACGTTCTCTGCGCGTAAATCCAAAAGAAAAGCACCCCAGAAGCCTCTGGAGGAGGGAGGGGACAGGAGCAGCAAAACTTGGCAGAGCAAACGTATCCAAGGATTTCGTGCCTAGAGGCACCTGCTTCAATATGCAAGAATTCCTGAGAAGCTTTGTAGGAAAGAGAAAAAAATAAAAATAAAATTACTCCCAAACACACACTTGAAACTGGAGACGCCTAAAGAAGAGTAGAAATAGAGAGGATGAGATCTCCTGGGGACCACGGATCCGTCAGCCAAATGAGCAGTCGCCTTGGAAAACCCTCAGCGGGGAGGTAACTGCAGATGGGTCCCCTGCTTGCGTCCCCGCCGCTGCCGCTGCTACCTGTAGACACGCACACACAGGCACACTCACGCGCGCACACTCAGCAGCCTCTGCTGCGCGCTCTCTCACCCTCTCTCACGGCCGCGATACCGGGTGCGGGAGTCTAAATACAACTAGATCTACCTTCCTGCCGCGGTCCTACAGACTCCCGGCCTCCCAGCCCTCTCCTGCCCACTCCTCCCGCGGATTCATTGCACAACATTGCTTCCCCTGGATCAGGTCGGAGCTGCCACAGGGGCCTCCGCGGTGCTGGTGGCGGTCCCCTCCCTAACATCCGCCCTCTCTGGTCCTTCCGCCCCGGGGCAGCCAAACCTCCTTGGTCTGCAACGCCCCGCAGCGCCTGCAGCACCCGAGGTTGCAGGAAGGGTGAAGAGCCTAGGGCGTCACGTGTGACGTCTTCTAAGCCACTTGGGTTCATAACTGATTGCGCGTTGGAATGGTGGCGGGCCAGAGGCCTCTTGCACGCTGAGTTTCTCCGTCGGTCCTTAGTGTCTTTGTGCTGTTTCCAGGAGGCAGGTCCCACAACAAAGATGGGAGGCTGGAGCTGGAGGCCAGGGCCTTCCTCTGAGTGAGTCTCATTCCATAAGCTATCTGACCACCAACCCCACCCCACTCCCAAACTCCTTTCATCTAGTAACAGACTGGCCCCTGAATTAGTGAGAACCCATTAAGGGTCTCCAGTACTTTTAGTCTCTCCCCGCTGGCTGTGCCCACATTCACCTTTGCTGGAGAGTCAATGTTTAAAAATCCGTCACAGTAATCCTTAGTGGCCTTTATGTCTTGTGAAGGTGTCACTCAAAACACTGTATCCTGCACACCTACTCGCATCCTTCTAGCCTCTGTGGTTTTTGAAAATGTGAATTGAGAAACCCGGACATGCCAAGAGACCCACTGAAATAATTGTTTGCCTCCTGTAATAATCTTAACTAAAAGCTAATGTCAAGAGTCGCTGTGAGAACTGAGTGACGAGCAGGCTTTCTTTCTTGCCTCGGGGTTCGTTTCATAATTCTCAGCCTCTCTACGATTTAGTCCCTGAAATTCAGAGGAAGGAAGAGGTGCCTGAAATAACAGCACGGTAGGTACTTGCACTGTCGCTACTTGGGAATCTAATAGCTCTGTAACAGCTGTGCTGGTTCGCAGAGCAACCTTGAACCTAACACACTCCCTCCACTTTGCAGGCACCCAGTGCCATTTCCCCAGTTTTGCGGTCCAGTCCACCCGAGGTCTTGTTCCTGTTCGTTTCTCTTCTCAGGGAAGGAAGCTAGAGGTATACCCAAGATAGCAAAGCCTCATATTAAACCACACCTGGGCTGCTTGCTTACTGTTCGCCTCCTCTGTCTACTTCAACCAGGAAGGCTTTGACTTTTCTCTACAGTTGTCCAGAAAGCTGGAAACAAGTATGTGTTTTCATATCGGTAACAGAATTTTATTAATTCTTTGACATTCAGGTGGTTACACACTTAAAATACCATAATGAGCCAGACTAGCGGTATACACCTTTAATCCTGGTACTCAAGAGGCAGGGGCTGGAGGATCTCTCTGAGTTCTAGGCCATCCTGGCCAGGACTAGAGAGAGAGACCCTAGTTTAAAACAAACAAAGATAACATAATTCAAGATGTTTTCACAATAATTGCAGTATCAAATTAAAAAAGAAATCAAGGTGACTTAATAAAGCAGTCCCTTGTAATTTATATAAAGTTCTGCAGAATCTGTTGCCTTTTAATCCTGTAGTCATCCTTTTAATGACCTTGCTGAACCCTGAATGTAATGATTGAGCATTTTTATTCCCAATAATTGCTATCACTAGAACGAGATTACGTTTCCCCAGGTCTTACTGTATTTTTACATTATTTGCAATCCTGCAATCTATATGCTGCGCATTAAAACCCCATTTTCATGAGCAAATTAAACAAAAAACTCAAGAGGTCTAAAAAATTGAATTGCCAGCCAAGCAGCACTTGTCCCTGCGTGTGTGTGCCACAAGTCAGTGATGGACAGTGCTGACTGTCAACTTGATGTGCTCTAGAGTCATCTGAGAGATGGAATTTAGCGCCTGCTGGTCAAGGATTATCCCTTTTCTCTTTTGCTTTTACTGTTTCTTTATCTCTCTCTTGCTCTGTCTTACTCCCTGTCTTTTTCTCTGTGCCTCTCTCTGTATCTCTGTCTCTCTTTGCGGGTGAGGAGTGCCACCTGTATGCGGTGCCTGTGGAGGGCAGAAGATGGCATTGGATACCCTGGGACTGGAGTTACAAGCAGTTGTAGGCCTTCCGCCAAGGGTGCTGGGAATCAAACTGGGGTCCTCTGAAGGAGCAGCAAGTGCTCTTTACAGCTCAACTATCTCTCCAGGCCAAAGGGATGATGCTGGCTGATGTGGGAAGACTTACCTTGAATGGGGGTGATGGCGATCACTGTTCCCTGGGTGGGGGTCCTGGACTATATAAGTGAGCTCAGAACTCATTGATCCTCTCTGCTTTCCAGCTGAAGATGCGGCAGCACTAGCTCCCTCACTCCGTTGTGACTTCCCACCACGGTGGACTGAGCTGGGACTGGAAATGAAAATAACCTTTGCTCCCCTGTGCTGCTCTTGTGAGGGCATTTCCTCACAGCAGCGGGAGAGAAACACAGACACGTCCAAACGAGCCAAACTTCCATTGGCCTTGTTTCTCCACTTGCCCCACTAAACCGTCCAAGGAAGTAAGGTCACCCATATCACTTGTTGCTAAAAGCCACTTGCCTCACCTTCCACTTTCACTAAATAAGGAGAGTAGTACTTGCCTGATGGTTTTGCTGTGTTTTCCACAGCAATGCAAGTAAAGAACTTGGGACACCAATAAAGAATATTTTCAGGGTTTCTATTTTGGAATCTTTATGATGTTTTGTGTTGAAAATCAGTCAGAGAACTTGAATGCAGTGCTTCTAAGTGTGCAATCTGGAAATAGACCATTAGTGACTTGATCTTGATTTCCCAGGCCCTCCCTGTCTTCTTCTTTCTTCTCATTTCTTTACTTGCTTGTTAGAGTTCTTTGGGACAATGTCTTAGCTGTCACAAGCTGGCCACCAGCTCATATTGTAGCCAAGAATGATCTTGAACCCTTTGTCCTTCATCTTCTATCTCCCAAATGCAGAGGTTGCAGGCATGTCCAACCACACCAACTGTGTTCTTTTGCTACTTACATTTTGCATAGAAAGACATATTGAACATAATTATAATCTAGAAAGAAAAAAAACAAAACCATGAATATGCATGAAGACATCCACAGAATGTGGGGAACTGGGTTCTATTCTCGTTGCAGGTCTTGTGGTCTTCTGGTTAGTGAAGTTAAACTGTGCTCAACCACAAAGTCTTTCATTAAGTCAATTGTCTGTAACTCTTAGTAGAGTAAAAACACACACACACACACACAAATTCTTTGTAAAATTTGCACAAGCACCCCTGCTTATTGTAGATTTGGAAGGAGGTTTC